ATAAGTAATGTTCTAAAAATACTTGTTTCACTCCAGAAAATTAACTTCTTCCACGCTACCGAGAATTTCTGGATGTATTTCGATTTGTTGCTGACATTATACGCGGAAATAGCAAATTCCTGTAGGAGGAGTGAAGTAATGATAGCCCGTCAGACCACCGAAGGGGATAATGGAGCTTCTACGTTTCAGAAACACTGACCTAAACAATGTGGATGTCCACTGAAGAGTGGAATATTATGCGTTTGTTGCGTTCGAATCTCGTCATAAAATAAAAATCGATCGAAAATCCCATGTAATAGCATGATATTAATATAGTACGCATATAATGAAATGCAACAATTATAAGAGAATATTTTCACAATCCCAAAATGTTTACGGAAACGTTTATCGCCTTATCTCTGTTCTATCTATATTCGTTTCATCTTTTGATTAAACTCATTTTTCTTCAACTATCATTATTACCCTCGTCTCACATAATAATGCACTCCCCACTAAAAACATTCATGATAACACTCTGTTTTTCCAAAATATTTTTAAAAATTAGAACAATTCCAGTGGAGTCTATAATTTTGCATAATTTTTAAATAATTTACAGCTGAAACTTTTGCGAAAAAGCATTCATTTGAAAAATGCATTATAGGACTTAACTCAACAACAACAACCGATCAATAGAACTTAATGAAGCAAGTGATAAGTTGAAACAATATTTCAAAATGGTAACAGGTTTTCTCAGGAAATCGCAACCTAGATGCACAATGCGCAAAACCTGAACTGATTAGCACTCAGCAATGATCATGTTCCACTAAAACGCACTCTTCAAATAAGTTTACTTGTCTGGTACAGCTTCAGTCATTCTTACGTGTAATTAAGATTGTTTCAATTAGGTCGGATTGTTTCATTAACACTGATTATATTTTTGAAAGACTCATATGAATCGCTCCAGAGTTAGTTGATCCAGTCAAGGAGATGTGCTTTGTGGGTTTAAGCAACCGGGAAGCGTTGATAACGGTTATTATATTAATGACAATGATCAGCAAAACATGGACAAGTATCTCGAGCTCGTAGAGAAAATAAAATTCGACACTAAATAAGTGCATCAATGAAACCAAAACGTTTCTGTTCCATGCGTGAAAGAACAATTCAGAAAGTACTTCTAGCTGATCATTTGTCTCCAATTATAGTATTAACAATAATGAAACAAGTCTAGCAGATGAGTGACACTAAAATCATTCAAAAATGAAACTATATTGCTAGCGAGAGTTCACATAATGGATGCGTTCGATGATAGGTGATGAATAAAGCGAAGAGCGCAATGTCAGTTTTAGACTAAATTGTAAAGAAGATTAGCAACAAAAAACAATTCGTCTGTGGACTTTAGCAGTCANCGATGCAACAGGAGCGTTGATGTAAGATGAATGAAATATAGCGATGATAGCTGAAGAAAAATGAGTTTAATCAAAAGATGAAACGAACATAAATTAAACAGCGATAAACGTTTACGTGAATATTTTAGGGTTGTAAAACATTCTCTTGCAAATGTTGCATTTCATATGAATGAAATTTGGGTTCACGCGTACTACTACTATATTTATATTACGCTATAACGTGGGATTTTCGATTGAGTTTTATTTTTATCTTCACAATGAATTTAATGCAGTGTTGCGATCCGATTGAAATGAATCTCTCCGTCGTTTCCTAATCGCAAACGTTCTTTCTTCGCATCGCTTTCAGTTAGCTGTCAACATCAGTCGTAATGGTCATTTTTCGCTGGGTGCAGCAAAATGCGCTCAGTGAACAAATCGCTCGATCATTTATTACGAGCAGCTTGGATATCCTATCCAATAAACCAAGCAGATTGCAAGATTGCAAGCAGAATATCTTCTAGTTCAAGAGAATTTATTAGTTTTTGCGGAGAGGGGAACCTATGGTGTAAATGAAAGAAGCACGAAATCTTTTTTTTTTTAATTTACAGCAATAGATGACAAGATTTTGCGAGCGAGAGATCCTTTCCGGCAATCACTCTGCGCACAATATTCGTTTTGAATGATTTTCAAGTGTAGGAACTCTTGGAATTGTTTCAAGGTAACATCCCATATGTTGAGTTGTTGATGCTGTTCAATCGTGAACGATATTGAAATGAATGCAAAAAGTGCTTCGGAAAAAGGCTGGGGAAAAATCTTTAAGATATTCTTTACAACTCCACACATGAATAGTTGTAATTTTGTGAAGTGCATAAAACAAGACAGAAATACGATTAGTTTTGTTATAAGTGAAGTTGAAGAGGAAATAAAGAAACGTATTTAATTGCTGTGAAATGGGTCAATATAGCCAATAATTCCTTATTCTGAACGATGCGGAAATTTTGAGGATTGAGGCGCATTGGTGAAATAAAAATAGAGCATTTCCGGATTGAGCAAGGTCGTTTCAGATTAAATTACTAGTTCATTATTATTCAAAAGGATTTTCATTCTTTACGGAATAATTTCGAATCTACGATACTTTCAGTGATAAACTTGCTAGTTTCTATGCACTCATATTACTTCGATCTCAGTTTACTTCACAATACATGAAACACGGATTAGAAATGAATTAGAAATGCTTCCAACACGGATTATAAATGTGAAAAAAGAGGACATGACAAAAAAAAATGAACTGATACCAACCTTATGAAAGTTGACACTAAAAATTTTCGAAAAGAACTTTTTAGGAACCAAAACAGGAACATTATAATAGTCTATACGTGCTAGACATGAAATAGAAGTGCCAAATCTTAACTACGAAGCAATAATATCCACAAACAGATCACGCGAATACTATTGAATAATGCTTTTGTGATAATTATCAGTTGTGAGCGTAACAAATTATCACTGCCCCACTGCCATCCAATGATCGATGACTGCAACTGAGACGTTTGCAAATGGTTTACTCTGTATGAACACATTCATTTCTTCGTCGAAATATTTTGAAGGGATAATTTTTGATTTCATGACAATATTGATCTGAAGGCTTAGTGAGGAGGTCTGTTCGGAAATGTTGGTAGGGAAAGAATCTGAAAATGTTGTAAGATTTGTGGAAAGCGATAGATTTGTGGTATATATGAGAAGTTATGATGAGGATATCGAACATATTGAATTAAAAATTTAATGGCGTTGCTGAACCATTAATAAGTATGAGAAATCAATATTTCAAAATCATTTTCGCTCTGATCATTCCCAGTGATCAAATAAGAAATTCATCGAATAAACTGACAAAAACACGAAAATGCTGAAAATGACAGCGTAAAACTGAAACGACTTTTCGATCGTCGGAAAACAGTTTAAAACGTTCAATTAAATCGTTTTTCTTCTATAACAGTGAAAATGGGTATCGTTACTGAATGGAACGATATTATCGGTGTTATCATCTATTGGTGTTTATTTATAAGAGACAAAATTGTTTACTTAATTCAACCTTCACAGCATTCAACTCTGACCATATTCATTCATTCAATCGGTTGTTTGCTTAAAGCGATTAAAATCCACATATTTGCTCAAGAAAAANATGAAACCAATGCGATTAAAATCTACGAAAAAATTCATCGCGGTGACAAGAAAACAAACGCTAACTTTTTCGTTAAATGGAAGGACAACATCGATCAGGAAATTGAAATGTTTAACAGCGCTCTGCAGTGTATCCATAAAAATTAGCATATCCAAGTACTCAGCAACTTACATCAGCAAATGGGACCAAGATCCTTATCGTACGTCAGTGTTTTGGGCGTTAATCTTATAACAATTGGGAATTACCACATTATACTCACACTTCTATGTGAGGCGCAAGTATGGAAACAAAATATTGAGTAAATAGTTTTGCATTCTATAAATACACACCAGTAAATGATGACATGATAATACTCCTGCATTCACCGTCGATATCCGTTTTCACTCGTTTGTGTCTATTGTAAAAGAAAAACGATTTAATTGAGCACGTTTCGCTATTGAATTGCTCACTAATAATATTTTCGTGTGAACATTTGGTGTTTTCGATTATACTTGTATAATATTATACGAACAACAAAATTTTAATTATAACTTACTTACCGCACCAGAACCTTGTATTTAAAGCATAAAAAGATAAATATCATACAATATACTAATAACTTTTGGAGCGTAACTGATCGTAAATTGATATCTTGAAAAATCACATGTAACAAGGGCTAAAAGATATAAACGTATATTGAAAACTACTGAAAAAATTCGTAAATTTCTTGTTCTGCAAATAAAACATTGAAAATTCGTAAATTCATGAAAGGAATTCTTAAAAAAATTGAAAATAAAAAATAAAAATTATATCAGTTCGTAAATTCAATGAAGATTCACACGAAAAATCAGTTTTTGTCTCAAAAGACGAATTTTTTTGCAAGACATAAACATCATACGTTATATTTACAAGCAACTAATTGTTATGCAAACCGCGAACGACCCCATAATGGTTATGTAGATACAGTGTAAAGAGGAACGTGTCATATTTTGGTGATTGATGGAATATCTGACGTTTTCAAGCTTGAAATAATGCATAAAATTTGAATATCACAGATCGAAATCAGAGATCGCACGTCAAAGTGCTTTAAGGAATATGATTTGCTTGTGGTTGGTTGTGAATTACCGTAGTCCTTATCTTCAGAGGTCTCTCATCGTTCGGCATCCGTTTTTTGAAAAACATTGTGAAAGCTTTATTCTTCTTTTCTTTATGATAACAATGTTGAATTTGTTTGCTAACTCTTTTAGACGTTAAAGGATTGTTATCCATTCTCCAAACTTTATTCACCCGCGTGAATGCTTCAGCCAACCGCTAACTGTCAGATATGAATGTCCTTTCAACGTCCTCAATTCCATTCTCGTCCTCATCTCTCTCTTTCCCTGTTTTATCGGGTGATTTTAATTTGAAAAGATTTTCGTTTGAAACTACTACTGTTCCACCTTCAGTGAGATCTTCAATATCCTCTATGCTACATGCTAAATTCAAAGGATCCACGAACTCCCGGATTGAATCTCCAATTTCATGAATCTCGTCTCCTTTTTCAACTGCAATTGCATTGCAGTGGTTTCACCACACTGACTGGGCATATGCTGGAATCCCATCTTCGGCAAAAATGGAGCCCAGAGAGGTTGTCCCAGGGAGAAAGTATCGGCAGTGCCACCCATACCGTTGTGGCCTGGCATCTGCATAACCGTGCACATCCCGAATAGGCTCATCGGACATGCCTGGGACTGCTGAATCTCAGTCGCGAGTATGGTACCGACAGGCTGGAAAAGGTCAGCAGGCACTGTTACTGGAGCGGCCATAGGGACAGGTGATCCTGAATCTGCTGATAAACCATCGGGACAGGCAACGGGATAATGCCTCGGATAACTCATCTTTTTTCATCCTTTATAAATCAACACAGCAATGAAATCTATGAGATCTGTTGACCTGTTGAAAGAACTGAAAGCCGCAGGGTGCAAGTTACGACGACACAACGGTGGGAGTCACCAAATATGGTGGTCGCCCATTACAGGAAAAACATTTCCTGTGCCGCATCCGAAGGAAGATCTGCCGCTGGGGACAGTTAAATCAATCAAGAAGATGGCCGGGATTTAATCCCTGCTGACTATGGACGTAAAATTTATGTTTGCAATTCAGTTAGTATTAAATCGCCTGTAAATTCATATGCAGCATTTGGTATTACTGTAGCTGTATTTGACCAATTCAATAACGGTTGCATTTCTGCCGCAGATGAACAGGCTGATATTGCGTTAATGGCACGCGAAGCCATCCCGAGCATGGTTGAAGAAATGATGTTAAACGGTGAGCATTCTGTTGAGGATATTACTGATGCTGGCTTTATGGTACAGTAGTACGCCAATGCTAATTATGCGCACTGAGATACCTAGTTCATGATTGATGTCGATTTGACATATTTTGAAGGCAAGTAACAACGTCTGAATTGTATCTTGCCGGATATGCTGATTAAAGCCTGATGTGTAATTCAAGTTAAGTGTCTCACTAAAATTATTTAAAACGCGGTGGTTTGTCAAATCTCGATATCCTGGGGTTTTTCAGAATATGGATCACGGAAGATTCAGAACTCGGGATTTCAGGATCCCCTGAAAACATTAGTTAGGAATAATGAACATTATTACGCCTCACTGAAACAGTACAATTTTATTGTACTTCTACATTGATGTTCAAATCGACTGTCGACTGTGTCATTATTATCATTTCGCAATAGTTCTGCTGAGGAGTATTTCCGTTTCGACCGCTTCAAACGAAAAATTTTTGTCGGAAGTGTTCGTCTAGAGTACGGATTATCGTAAATCGAACGTTTGTAAGTCGGCATTATCAATGTTTAGAAGTTTCATACTGGATGAAATTGTCACCGTAACAATGCCGCTTTTGAAAATAGGAGTCGGAAGAGAACATTTATTGTCAATAAGAAAAAGCACTTCGTCATTGAGTCATCAGAAAGAGCGTTTTGATATGGTTAATGCATTAAAATGGAAAGAATTTGCGAAGACGATCATTAAAAAGTGTGGTATTGAACGGCGAATAACGGCGAATGTTTTATGGTTCACATATCATAACGTATGGTTCCATTAAAAGCGAAATAATAATTTGTGGTTTCCTCTGATTTGTTTAAATCTCACAAAGGACGAATCATAATTGTAGAAAAACTGCGCCGAATCGCGCTTCACTGCCTCGCTATTATGCATATGTTCAGTAGTGTTTATTCAAGCAGTTCGTCGAGAACGAATAGTTTCGCAAAACGAAATAATTGCTTACGCTTGCTTATGGTAGTGATAGTGCAGAAGGTGATAGCAATACCTGGCAATTCCTGAAAAGTATAAGACTGCAGTTGTCCAACAAATTATGATATGATGAAAAGTTACGATTGTGACATTACAAAACTGCAACTGACTCTCAAGTGCAAACTAAATAAAATGATACAATTACTCAACAACTAAATAATCACTAAACAAAAACTATGAGTTTCTCATTCAAGTGATTACTGTTAAATGGCTGGAGCATGACCCGCCCATATGCAGATCCGAACATTCGACTGAGGTGAATCTCTAATCTTGCATGCAAAACGTGATGAATAGAACAAAATTCATTTAGCTGCTATTTTGTGAACTGACTTCTAGATTGAATGACCTCGAAGTTGTGTTCGCTGTATTATCCACAATGCACCAGATATAAGTCCAACAGAAATATCATCAACAAAAAGCGTATTCATGACAAAGAAGAAGAGATGAAGAGTGCCTCATTCAGCTGCATTAAATTATCAACATTTTAAAGCAACTATTAATCAGCAATTCAACAAATACTTCGAACAATTCCTGTAAAGAAGTGCTGAGCGTATAAGACGGTTTTCTTTTGAAATTCATCGTATGAACAAGCGCATTGATTAATTTCGATTCAAAGAAATGTTATTTCTCAAATCGAGCAATACTGATCAGTTGATGTTTATCAACATTGATCACCGACCGAATAAAACCAAAAGAATTTATTGTTAGCTGAAGTGGAGAACAATTATTAGTACACTGAAATTTTTATAAATTAGTACAAAACGAGGACACAAATGGAACTAGTGAAAGTGTAACCAGTGATTTAGTTGCCGAATTGGTACGAAATAAAAACATAAATTTATTCATGTTTATGGGTGTGAAACAAGTCGTTAATACCATATTGAATACATATCGACATTCGATTTGGAAATGTCATCCATTCTTTATATATTGCTGCTTTCGCTCTATTTCTGAACCAACAATCATTTTATTTTTCGAAATTTCCGTCGTACAATCAGAAAATCCAGGAACAAAATCTTTTTTCCGGTAATGGACACGAAAAAAAGTTACTCCTCTCATTGATAATTCACTAAAAAGATATTCTTGTTCCGCTGAAAATAGTCCGCTATTAGTTCCGCTAACGAAAAAGTAGCGAGAACTTCCACTAAAAGTATCGCTAACCAGAAAAATTAGCAGTATTGTTCACTAAAAAGCTATTTAAAAATAGCATCCATAAGCAAGAGTGATAAACAAGAATGATAGAATGATAAGCATCCATAAGCAAGAAAGATGAGCTAAGGCAAGAATGAACCCGCTAATAGCTACTTTCAAATCTTCCCTCAAACACTGTGCAATTGCACTGCTTATTTGCCTGCAGAAAACCTTATCACACCATTGAATATTTTAAAAATTTCTTATGAATCATTAGACAACAGATAATCGTTGCAGCAATAATCACCAGTCAACAATTAAAAAAAGAAAACAATTTCAATAATAATAAAGGAATGAAGCGAAGACTGTCGCAACATTGGTTTGCATTCTCTCATCCTTTTTATCTTAACTCTTATCGATGTTGCCAATGTACATCGCACAGTTACTGAGATCATTCATACAAACGCATTCAGCTGTATGCATCATCTTTACAAACACATTCAAGTCTTATGCATCATTCTTATGGATGCTTTCTGATCTCAGATATGCACTATCACGTCATCCAATTCACATCTTTTTTTGTAGCTTTATCTTAATACCCATCAATTGCACAAAAATGTAACAATTGCGAATATGGTGAATTATTATCTGCTTATCTATCTGAAAATAGCAACAAAATCTCTTGCATTATCGATGCACAAAGACTGTTTATTGATCACTTGTTGTATTTTTATTTCCTAATCCTAAACTCATCGTTCCGCATATTATTCTCTTCACTGAATCACGCCTCAATAATTCAATATCATAACTCGAAATATCTCTCCTCCAAAAACGTTCATCAGTTTTGAAAGCATCAACGTTTCGACCAAATTCAGGTGTTTCAACGTTTTTTGCCAGTATTCATCTCCCAAACCGTTGTAACAAATGAATACGCTTGCGCAGTTTTTTCATTATTGTATTATCATTAATGTGA